GAAGCTACCTCTAACTTTAATTAAAACTTGATGTGAAAATTTTAGATTTGCTTTTCAGAAAGCACAAACATGTGTAGGCCTCGTTTGGGAACCCTCATTTTTAGCCAAAAAGTCAAAAAGTTAGTAAATTAGCCAAAAAGCCAACAATCCATACCAAAAAGTCAAAGATTCTCTTTTCTCTCTACTTTTTGCACGTCTTTTCATAAAAAGCCAAAAAGTCATCCCAAACATACTAGTTTTTTTAGCTCATATTTAGCCAAATAGCCAAAAAGTTACTAAATTAGTCTGTTCCCAAACGAGGCCTAAGTTTTAATTTTTAACAAACTATATTGAATTAGAAGGGATAAAAAAACAAAAAGACTTGTGGCATGACAGAGCATCGAGTATCAGTTTATATGATCACAAGCATTAATTGTTAACATATGTTCACTAGTTTAGTTTCTTCTATGTGTAGAGCTTCAGTTCGTTGGTATAGTTATCAATTGTGGACTGTGTGAGTGATTTTCCGACCACACTACCAACTCAGTATTCAGCTGGAGAGCACTGGCAGAATAGATGACACCTGTCTGACCTGCAACAGAAAGAGAAGATTCCAGCGGTGGTTCGTTCACCCGGGGCACTCCGACGATCAAGTCAGTATATCTCTTAAAGATAATCAATAGTGCTAAACTCACTGGACAAAGCATAAAAGACATACCTTAGACCCATGAGGGTGCCTCTCTTTTATAGCCAACATAATCCTAGTCCCAATAGAAGCCTAACTCCAATGGACTTAGGATTACTGTTAATCTTGGACTCCCTAGGATTAGAATAAACTCTCTAAGAGTCTTATCTTTATGTAAACTGAAGTCTTCTCCCATTCTAGGACTCTTGTCCCTTATCCGTTTATCTCGGATTCCGATATTTTCGGAGATAACCTCGGCCTTGCCGAGATAACCTCGGCGTCTCGACCAGGATATGTGGCACCTCGGCTGACACGTCGGCGTCACCTTGGCCACGTGTTGGTACTCAGAAAATATATCCCCACAACTGCCCCCTAGGTTCTATTACCTTGGCATTCTGAGGTGATGGAACCTATATTATCTCTTTCATCTAGCACATTGGCTAAGCTTGCTTCATCATTTATTGCCGAAGTCAGAACTCGTCGGCTCAATATGACCCAGACCTATAGTCTGCTTTCATCAAGGCTTTAGAACCAACAACCAAATTCATTCAAGTTTCTCAACCGAAACTGTCCTTCTGGCCGAGGTATTGGTTTCATTAAATCAAGAACTTCAAGAGTTTTCTTCATGCGTATGAGCTGGCACGTACAATTTTTCAACCGTTTTTGCCACGCATCTTTCCTCTACTGAGCTGTGTCTAATACGCGTCATTAAATCACCTTGCATCTGTGTATTTTGATCAAAATCTCTTCACTCTCTCCGTCTTTTCACTTCTGCATCTTCTTTTTTGTTTAAAATTTCTCTTTCAAATCCTTATTGCTGCTTTTGCGAAGCTGTCTGCAACCAGTTTCACTCTTCTCTCTGGCAAGGCTTCTGCTGCACTTCCTTGGTTACGGCCACCGTCTGATCCCGGCGAACTTTACTTCGGCTTCATTACTTTACTCGTTCATGTCTTTTGATCATTTAACCTGTATCTTGAATTTCACCATGTACTGAACATGTACTGTCTTTGTACCTTGTACTTTTTTGTTACTCAAACAATTTATTCTTCAATGTTAGGCCGAAGTGCCTTCTTTCCTTATCTGAATGCATTTTTTAACTTCTTCTTTCAAGTGTTTTGAATGTTTACCCTCTTCTTAATGCCTTGTATGATTCCATGCTTAGAATACAATTTGTATGTCTTCAACATACACCTTAACTGTGCAATCTCCCCAGGTTAACATACCTCGGACAAAACTTCCGACCTTGCTTATCTCGGTCTCAGTTTAACACTTGAAAATATTGTAACAAATATTTTCACAAGTGTTGCTTTTACTTCTTAAGACTTCTGTCTTCCATTATCTTCCAAGTCTTGGTAACATAGTCACCTCGGTACGTGTATAGATGCTTCTTTCACTCATTACCTTGGATTTAACTTCAACTTGTAAATTTTCTCAAAATTTCAACAAGAGTTAAATCAATCTTCTTTCTCGGTTTAACTTCAACTTGTAAATTCTCTCAGAATTTCAACAAGTGTTAAATATGTTCTCGGTCTAACTTCAACTTGTAAACTTTTCTCAAGTTTCAACAAGTGTTAAACATGATCTCGGTCTAACTTCAACTTGTAAACTTTTCTCAAGTTTCAACAAGTGTTAAACATAATCTCGGTTTAACTTCAACTTGTAAACTTTTCTCAAGTTTCAACAAGTGTTAAATATAATCTCGGTTTAACTTCAACTTGTAAATTTTTCTCAAAATTTCAACAAGTGTTAAGTATAATCTCGGTTTAACTTCAACTTGTAAACTTTTCTCAAGTTTCAACAAGTGTTAAACATCATCTCAGTTTAACTTCAACTTGTAAACTTTTCTCAAGTTTCAACAAGCGTTAAACATCATCTCGGCTTGTGAAATTCCAACTCCCAAGTATCATTCTTCAGTCCTTTGCCCCCTAATGTGAACTTAAGTTCCACTTGGGTTCTCATTAGGCACATGGCTTTGACCTTGATATTGCTCTATGGGCAGGGGATCTGCCCCCTGCATGGCTTCCACATACTCCTTTGTGGAAAAAATTCTTTAACTTAGGCCAAGTTCTTCTCTTCTCAGACTTAATCATCTAAGCTGAGATCTTGTCTTCTGAGATCTGGGATTCCAGATCTGGAATCTGGGATCTGCTCATTTGGGCTAAGCTCTTGTCTTCTCGTGTCTAGTATTATCTCGGTTTTGCTTCGGCGAACCATTTCTCTTCTCTTGTTTGGACGCCTTTGTCCCCAGCGTGTCTTCCTCGGCTCTAGCATACTTTTCTATTCTGGCCATCAGCTCCTCCATGCTTTTCGGCAATATCTTTGCTAGTGATTTTCGAAACAGGCAGTCATCATTCAAGCTGTTTTTAAACAACATGACCGCCACCTCTTAGTTGCATCCTGGTATTCGGTTGAATACCTAATAATACCTTTTGGCATAGGCCCTACGGCTTTCAACCTCGCCGATCTTCAGGGCCATTAGGGCGTCAACCCTCAATGGTTGTAGTTTGTTTGTCACGAACCTGGCCACAAACATCTCGGTCAGGCCTTCCTAGGTTTTCACAATTCCTTTCGGCAACTTGTGAAACCAGTCCGATGCAATTTCCCCGAATGATGAGGGGAACACTTTGCAAAGCAACGGCTCGTTCCCAGTGTATAATGCCATCGCGTTCAGGTATAATCCAACGTGAAAATTGGGGTCTGACTTCCCATCGTATATCTGGAACCTCGGCATACTGAATCTCTTCGGGACCTCAACTTTGTCTAATTCTTCCGAGAACGGCGTTCTCGATTTGACCGGGGAGGTTACCTCGGCATCTTGTTGCTTCCTCTGTAGGTGATCTCCCAGATCCTCTTTGGTTCGTCTAAGGGTTCGGCTATCTCCGGATTTCAGCCTCTTTGGCACACTACTTCTAGTGTCATCGTGAGTCCTTTTGGACCTCCCTCCACTGGTCGTGTCGAAACAGAGTTCCTTCCCCTGAACATCCCGATGTTCTTTGGTGTAGGTTTCTTTTGTTCGACGTGCCTTCTGGGATTCTCCATGCCCGACCTCCCGCGAAGGCCGGTGAGAATGTCCCTTGGTCCGGCCATGCTAAGGGACTGCAGGAACCGTTTTCTGCCCCCCTTTCTGGGCACCTTTCTTGGCCGCTGGAATCGGCGTATCTTGTAGCGGGAACGGTGGCTGCATGTCGTCGTTCTGCATCATGAAATTGACGACCATTTGCAAGTCTGCCAATTTGTCTGCCATTCCCTTTATCTCGATCTATCCTTCCATACCTGGAGGTCGTCCTCGTTGTAGTATCCGCTTCGATCTGGTTTCTTTGGCACGTCGCCTTCCTGGCCGACGTCTTTCTTGCCTTGATTCTGGTTCTGAGTCTTCTCATTGCGACCATCTTCTCCTACATTTGGTCAACGTGTTTTCCACTCCCAGCAGGGATTTCATCCCCAACCTTATCCTTTTGTCCGTCGTTGGCCATCTATTCTTTTTTCTTTCCCACAGACGGCGCCAAATTGTGTGAGTGATTTTCCGATCACACTACTAACTCAGTATTCAGCTGGAGAGCACTGACAGAATAGATGACACCTGTCTGACCGACAACAGAAAGAGAAGATTCCGGTGGTGGTTCGTCCACCCGGGGGCACTCCGACGATCAAGTCAATATATCTCTCAAAGATAATCAATAGTGCTAAACTCACTGGACAAAGCATAAAAGGCATACCTTAGACCCATAAGGGTGCCTCTCTTTTGTGGCCAACATAATCCTAGTCCCAATAGAAGCCTAACTCCAATGAACTTAGGATTACTGCTAATCTCGGACTCCCAGTAGGATTAGGATAAACTCTCTAAGAGTCTTATCTTTATCCAAACTGAAGTCTTCTCCCATTCTAGGACTCTTGTCCCTTATCCGTTTATCTCAGATTCCGATATCTTCGGAGATAACCTCGGCCTTGCCGAGATAACCTCGGCGTCACGACCAGGATACGTGGCACCTCGGCTAACACGTCGGCGTCACCTTGGCCACGTGTTGGTACTCAGAAAATATATCCCCACATGGACATATATTATTCACAATAAATACTTTATATTAGTATTCCATTAGTTACAAAGACTTGAGCAGCAACTATTCTCTAACAAATCAATGTGTAGTGTGAACTAGTCACTAGATCTCACCCTGCAATTTCGGTTCTTCACTATTGCAGCTACCTCTAACTTCAATTAAAGTTTGATGTGAAAATTTTAGATTTGCAATGAGTCAAATAAGACTTAATTTCCAATGAAATTCATCCAAAAAGTATAGCATGGAATTTGATTATCAAACCATGGGTTAAACTTTCTTACTGTTTTAACGTCATCAAAATTTTCTTCATATTGCCCAGCAAATTCGCTGACGATGACAAGACTCCGAGCCTTGCGGTGCTGCTTCTTTGAACTCTTGGATTTAACCAACAGCCTCCAATCATGGCCTGAATCAATGAAGGAGCTGGTTAAGTAAAATGAACTGGCTGATCGCTGCGGCGGCAAATGCTTTCTACCAATTGAATTCCTCTGCAAAACCAATTCTCCACTAGTCTTGTGATTCAGAATAGATGTAGGCAAAGCATCCAAACACAAACATGGACTAGTATGAGAATCCACAACTGATGAACCCACTACAGATAAACCTCCCACCATCCCCAAAATCACAAAGAAAAGTCACCTAAGCACTAGAAGAATAAAACCCAGATCAAAGAAAGCCAAGAAGCAGGGCTTTTAAGCCAACAATTCAATGAAATAGGAGATACCCAGAAGAGAGAATGAAGAAAGAGTTGGTGGGTATCCAAGAAAATGGGAGATTGATTGAAAATTGAAGTCAAAGATTCATGAACTTGGACGAGAAGGGTATGTAGATGCAGACTGCTATGAAGAAGCAAAAGTCCTTTTGGAGGGCAAGAAGAGAAGTGTGTGAAAGCAATTGGGTGTTGGTGATTAGGTATACGTGTCAAAACACACCAGAAATTTTTTGAGGTGGAAAACTGTCGGACCACAAAACCCTTTACACTTCAATTTAAATCAAGCATAGATTCCTTATTCTAATAAGCTGTACCAAGTTTGGACGGTCCACAGTTCAAAATAAATAAATAAATAAAATTGGACGGTTCTCTATTCCAATTTGGTGGCTCTTTTTGCCACATGTGGGGGAAGATCTTTCTAGTGTGTTTCATGAACGTGTAAAATTGTCCAACTTCTGTATGTAGTTTAAACGTTTCTTTTTTGGGCAAGATTCCACGCTCACGCCAATGGCCGGCCATGTTTGGTGGAAGTTTTTTTTGTTTTAAGTTAAAAAGTTAACAATGAGAAAGTATAAATTAAAAGTATTTTTTTTTTAGTTTATTTAAATTATTTCTACTTAATAAATTATAAGTAAAAATTATATTAAATAGACTGTCATAGACTCTCATATTAAATAAAAATAAGTTATAATTAATTCTTTTAAACTGTAACAAATAGTTTCAACAAAAAAATGAAGGTGAATCTTACAGACTTTCCATTTGTTAAATCTCAAAATCTTAACTTTATAGGTAAGGTTGACATCACGTGGAAGTAATTTGTATTCATTTTAGCGATTTTTTTTTTTTTTTTGGGTACAAAGGATTTTAGTATGATATTTGGTACAAAGGACCGACTAATCCACAGATTAATTCCACCATCTACCTAATGGAAGGCCCCTTTTTTTTTTATTCCCAGAACAATTCCAAGGCAGCATCCTTAGGATCCACCCTTACAAGCTAAATTGGGAGAAGCTAGCCGATCCACCTAGACCTACAAACCAAACTGGGAAAAGCTAGCCGATCCACCTAAACCGTCGAACTTCCACTTGAGTAGTAGGGGATTCGAACCCTAGTCAGTAAAAAGAGGAGCAAACTCCCTTACCAACTAGAATGGCCCCTTGGTGGTGAAAAGGATATTCCTTACTTTTTTAATTGTTAAACCCCCTGAAGAAGACACACATATGTTGTAAAGGACAAACGATTTGTCTTTATTTTTTATGGACAATCTTACCCTTCAATATATATGGAATAGATTTGAATCAAATCATTGATTGCGTCTTCTACAACTCTCTCTCTCTCTCTTTACACACACACAGAGCTTTCTCTCCAACAAATATGCGCCATCTTTGTCGATTGTCTCTCATCACTTCTACAATCTCCATCATCGACTAGTGTTGCTCATCATCACCTTCATCCGTCACCATCTCAGATCTACCATAGTCTTGATCGTGTGTCATTCAAAAGAGAAAGTTATGAGTGACGATGTTTTCAGATATTGAGGAAGAGCTTTTGCTGTTTTATATTTTTATCATTTCTATGGAGGCATTTTGCTAGATATCTTCACATATTCGTCATCATCTTCTTGGAGGTTGGATTTCATAGAGATCTTTATAGATTTTATCTTCTACACATTGATAATATTCAAATTGACAGGCATAATCATCATTTAAGAATGAAAAAATTTAGATCTATTAGTTATGTTTGTAGAATCCGTATTGAGTTGTTCCGGTTCATGGAATTTAGGTTTTATTTTTAGTATCTTTTGGTATTTTACTATCATTCAGAGTAAAATTTTACTATATTTCCGCTATAAATAATTTTTTATTTTGTTGTGCTGGTAAATTTTCTAGTAGAGATTGGATGGCTTTCTTTGATAACTCTACCTTGCAAAGCTATAGGTTGTAGTGGTTAGTAACAATATAGTAGAATTTCAATTTAAATAACAAATTCAGATAGCAAATTTTTACTGTCCTAATTAACAAAGTAAAATTTTACTATGTCAACGTTATTTGAATAGTAAAATTTGTTTGTATTTTTTTAAAAGAATTTTATAATCAACTCTTAATTGATAAATCTTCATGAGAGGATTTCAAAAATTTTAATTTCATAGAAAATCAATATTTACATCAAAAGTTGTAATTTTAAAGTTTAAAAATAAAAAAGGCATATATGTCCATAAATTATAAAACTATGCGTGCAACCTTTTTTTGTCCTTAATGCAGTACAAATAAAACTCATGTCCTTTTTGCGTGAAAAGTTCATAAAACAAGGGGCCAAAAACCTCATTAAAGTCAAGACAATTGCCTGACTAAATTGGTTTCAAGAAATTATTTGCACTTCGGAGGTTTCAAACCTGATACCATGGTACAAAACCCTAAACTTTGACTACCAAGCCAATCACTCGAGGTTCCATTTCACTGATTTAAGAGCATTTCCAAGTCTACACCATTTTTCTTTTCATCTAATTTAATTCAAAATTTTAGTAAAAAAACTTGATTTGATATAAACTATTCCAACTCATTTATCAAATTTTCATCAAAATCTTTTGTTTTTTTATTCTATTTTTTTTAATCAAATTTGATTAAAAAAATATTAGTCATAGCATGAATAACATTGATTTTGTTTGATTTATGTTTTGATTTAATTGAAGAGTTATATTGTTTAAAATCTTATAATTAATTTAACATCATAATTCATCCTCATTTTGTCTTATTTATGTTTATTAGAGGCCAAAATTTTAGCTCAAACAAGCAAAAACCAACCAGCAAGCACAACAGCAGAAGCATTGTTTTGATTTTATTTTGATAGGTTATAATTGAAAACTTACTGTTTGATTAAATCATTATAATCTATTATTCTTTTAGTGTTTAACTATGTTTTTGAAGGCCAAATAGAAGCTTAAACAAGTGTTAAAGAGATCCCATAACAGCAGCAGCAATAGAAGCAGCCAAAACAAAGGAGGCTAAATTTACACTAGGTGGATGCCTGGAGAGATGACCGGTTACGCCAAAATCAGCCAAGTTCAATCCTGTTTCAGTTATGTTTGCTCCAGCTGTCAGACCAGTAGTATGCTCGTCCACTGCGGCAGTCATCCTTGACGACTGGGACATGATCAGACATCCGGACAGATGACCACCAAGAACAAAACTCCATCTGGGACATCCGAAAGGATGACCACCTACTAAATCAGTTCTGCAACGGTTATTTTTCAAAGTTCAACTTCGCAACAGCTAGTTGGTTCACACCCATCTTTCAACTGAAAAAACTCACATGGGCTAGAGATAAAGGCCGACATTGATGATATGTATATCATCACCCCATCTCCTCAATGGGAAGAAAAAGATGGGCTTGGCAGACAGAATAGAGCACTGAGCTCTGCTATATATATAGAGCTCTAATATGAAGAGCAAAGACAGAGAAGTGAACAACGAACCAAGATATTGTCCTATCATTCATCAATCACATATTTCATCTTCTCTGAGTTATTTGAAAACGTCTTCATCTGTGTTTCATTCATCTTTCTAGAAAACAAAAACTGAGCCTAAGCCTTAAGCTTATCTACCAGTGAGAGGTTATTAGAAAAATTAGAAAGACTTGAGCTAAGAAATTTCTTTGATTTTATCATTAGTCTCAAACTCATGCTTAAAGTAGTCTAAAGAGTTCCTTCAACCTTGATACATCACTCACCTTCAGAAAATACACACAAAGCTTGAGATTTAGGCTTATTCACCTTTGAGAGGTTTACAGAAAAATCTAAGAGCAACATTGTATATTTATCAGTGAGAGATATTTTTGTAGCTCTCTTTGAAAGCAAAAACACTCATTTCTAATCTTGGAAAAGGTTACTAGTAAGCCTGTAAAGCTAGAGAAAATCTGTGGATGATTGCTCCATGTGTATGAGGTTACTAGCACCTCTGTGAAGCTAGAAGATAATGGAAAATCTCGAGTGAAGCTTGAGGAGTAGATGTAGGCATAATTGAAGCCGAACCACTATAATCTTGTTTTCATTTTCTTCCCTTATCTCTTTACTTTCCATTCATTGTGTCAGAAACTGTAGACCGCCCGAACTCGCTCCGCGCGCGAGAGCGTGAATTGGGTTCTAGCTACTACAGTTCGGACTCCTGTCACGGTTCTGAATCTAATCTCACAAAGTGCAATGTGAGACTGATAAATCACCAAATAGTCCAAATCCGGCAATTGGTTTTGAAAAATCAATTTTGAATCAAAAGCGCCAAACATGGACTGTTTTGCCAGATTTCAGAGTCGCCACCTAAATATTTTGTTTTTGGGAAATTTAGGAAACCCTGACTCTTGCCAATGGCCACGTGTCTATCATCACCCAAGTTGCCTCGGCTCGGGAACTTGGGTACGAGAGGGGAAGATCCGGAAATAAGCACCCCCACTCGCCCAATCAAAGATTGGCCTCTACTAAACATGATATGTTGTTTTTGAAAACACATGTGTTCTTATTCTTATTATTAATCTAACTTACTATGTGATGTGCACAACACAACTAAATCACTCAATTTGGAACAAAACATCTCATGTTTGTTTTTTCGAAAATGGTTTGAATTTGCCACCCTCAAGTGGGCTTAGAAATGTGGATTTGCCACCCTCAAGGTGGGCTTAAAACATTATGATTTGCCACTCCAAGTGGGCTTAAAACTCACATTTTGATGAATTGTTCTAATTCAAGTAATGAAGCCTTCATCCACAGGCATTCATGCAGTTAATCACTTAAGCAAATAGCCTCAATGGCAAGCATGCTATCATGGCAACACTCACACTCATGCAAGTATGCTAAAGCGTAAAACTTATAGTGTACTCCGAGCCAAAACAAAAGCTAGTTAGAAATATGCATGATCCTAACTATGCTAAACTGCCTAATGCAACATATGCAAAGATGCAATTAAATAGACACGGCTATTCTAAAATGGCATATGAGTTACAATACTGGATAACATGTATTCAAATAGGTATTGAAATACAATGCAGTTTGAATGATGCGCAAAGCCCGGTGCATGCAAGACAAATGAATGATGCAATCATGCAAGCATAAGATATGCTAATCGAAATATGCCCTAAACTAACCATCAAAAGCTGATAAGTAAAAGGAAGAAAGAAATGGGGTTGAAAGACATGCACACACACACGCACCCTTATTACAACATTTGCCCTCCCGCAG